ACCCCTCCTCGTCGTCCTCCCCTCCCCCGTCCACCACCTTCATCTCCTCCGAGTCACCGCCAGAGAGCACTCATCTTCCTCCTCTCGTTCTCTCTCTCGAGCTCAGCCAGTCGCCGCCCAACTCCCCATCTCGAGCTCACCCCGACCACTGCCCCCATTCACCACCTTCAACATCCCCACTACCCCCTCTCCAGCGCCGACCAAACCCACCCACTCGCCTCCCCATCGCCGGCGAGCCCGACTGCAGCACCGCCAACAACTGCCACCCAACTCCGCCGCCCTCACGTCCTCACCTGTCGTCGTTGGACCCCTTAGTCTCGTAGGCAAGATCCCTCTTGCTCGTTGTCTTGTTAATTTAATTTTTATCTCTTATGAATTTATTACGTATATGCGTAGATTAGTTTGTGCTGATATGATATTAATTGTGTGGTTGTTGATAATATTACGGTGAATATATTCTATAAAACGATAATAAATGATGAATAACTATGTCAAAAAATAGTTTATGGTTAATTTCATGTTGTTTTAAAGGAAGAATATATTTATAGAGTATTTTTAGAATAAATTATAATGAGGAAAATATTTTAAAAGGAATTATTTTGAGAAAATAATCTATTTTGGATAAGGTGTATTTTTGAATAATTGTTAGGATTAAAAGAATTTTATTTTGAGAAAAAGAGTATTTTAGATTATTTTATAAAATATCATAGAAATCATTTTTAAATAAAAAGTATTACTGTTCATAAATAATAATAAAATATATTTTAAGAAGATTATTTTTAGAATTTTTATAATGAGATAATTTTAAAGAAAATTATTGTTGGAATTAATAACTGAGATTTTGATTTTTCGTGTGTAAAACATCTATTAATGGTTGTCTTATCTTACATTGTTAATAGTAACTTTACTCTCGTATGTTCTTGCATGTGATCACGACCCCTGTTCACACTTCATGACAATTGACACTTAGCGTAATTGTATTTATTATTGCATGTTGAGAATCATGAGAAGTACATGACTATAGTGACCTGTATGACACAGTTACGATCTAGAACCTCGTGTGTAGTTGACCTGGAATTACAAGAATTGGGATGAGAAATCTTGGTCCATGTGAGCGGTTGGGATTGTTGATGTATTTTCCAGGCTCGCGTCGGTGAAGTTTGTGTAGTCACCGGGGTGGGTCTGAGGACATGAGATATTGTGATTGTTGATGTATATTCTAGCCTCGCGCCGGTGAAGTTTGTGTAGTCACCGGGGTGGGTCTGAGGAGTTGAGATATTTGTGATTGTGGATGTATTCCAGGCTCGTGCCGGTGAAGTTTGTGTAGTCACCAGGGTGGGTCTGAGGAATTGGGATATTTGTGATTTGCGGTCAGTCAATTATCCGATGATATGAACGTTATATTTATGTGAGATGTGGACCAGTGACCAATTATAGAATGAATAGTACATGATCTTGTTACTTAAGGTGAATATGGATGCTTGTGTGATATGTAGGTCAGATGTATTTCCTTACATACATAGATCAGGGTTAATATTTAATTATCCACAATTTGAGACATATGGTATATACATGAGGATTTCCTTATTTGGATTATTTCGCTCGACGTACTACGTCTCTTGTTGTAGATTTTTAAGTATTAATTCCATCTAGTTGTATGACTTTGTTATTTGGATATTTATGGATTCTTCTGACTGTTATTTTTAGTAGTGGATTGCATGTTGTTTTAGTTATATTCCCAGTTGCACGCTTCTTTGTTATTCTCGTCGTTGCATCGGATTTTGCATTGGTCATATGACCGTTATATTTTTCCATGTGGGATCTTGTCGTGTACCATGCACGCTGACGTACACCTATTTTTTCTGGTGTACTTCAGATTTAGGAGACGAACAGCCTCCGCTTGGAGTCGTACATGAGCCAGAGGATTCACATTAGGAGTGCCTTGCAGATGGAGAAGAAGAACAAGCTGAAGCGTAGTAGTTTTCTTCTGTAGTTGTTGTGGAACATTAGAACTCTTTATAGTATTATCCTTAGTTTGATGATGGATTCGGCTATTTTATCAGTATTTTCTTTTGTCATAGACTATGTATTTTTATTCCTAGTTGGATCGTTTTGTAATAAGGGTATGTTTGACCCATATTTTTATGTCTGGGATGATTTACCATGAATGATATGTTTATTTTTATTCTGTATTGTCTTTATATTCTTGCTATTAAGATCGGGGACATGTGATTGAGATCTATGTATTCAACGCTTAGCGTATTAGATTGAGAAGAAAAGAAAAAAAATGATAGTGTATATTTCTTCTCAATCTAATACGCTGTGGGCTTGTTCACGTTCCAATTCCTGGGTATTTTGGGAAGCGGGGCGTGATAGGTCTTTTGGTGGCCCATGTAGGTCTCAGTCCTGAGTCCACACTAGTAAGGATATAATGGACGATTTGGATACATATCATATTTCATTCGTAAGACTACGATTAAGTTCTTATACTATTATCAAAATAACTATGTTTTAGTTCCTATTTTCCCAATACTTTGTTTTGACTTTGACCTTGGTTATCTTCTTGATCCTCTTTTTCCTTTAGAACAATGGCGATTACGTGTGGTAATGGTAGCCAGCCCAGTAGTAGTGGACTACCGTCTGAAGTGGAACCGCACCAGCTTTTGGAGATGATTTATGGATTAGTGGCGAATTAGTAGTTCTTGGCTGGGCACTTGCAGCAGGAGCCTCAACACCAGCCTTTGCCTCGTCCAGAGTCTAGTGTTAGGGAGTTCTGGTATATGCGGCCTCCTTCTTTCTCCGATGCCAAAGGACCTTTAGCAGCAGAGGAGTTCCTCAAGGTCACGGAGACTATCCTTACGGTGACTCGTATTCCCCCTACAGAGTGGATAGATCTCATGGATATTCAGCTCACCGACACCGCACGGATTTGGTGTACTGCAGAGAAGACTCATTTGGGGAGACCGATTTCGTAGGATACCTTCACAAACCGCTTCAACAGGAAGTACTTCCCTCAGTCGGCTCGGGACGAGCTTTTGCGTAAGTTTGTTGAACTCAAGCAAGGAGGTCGATCCGTTGATGAGTACAAGGCTGAGTTTTCTTCCCTGAGTCCATACGCTCCTCATCTTGTTACATACCCCACTATTAGGAGGCATCAGTTCCAGAAGGGTCTGGACAAGTATATTAGATTGGCTCTAACTGGTAGAGCACTTGCGACGTACAATGCGGTATTAGATGCATCACGTGAGATTGAGAGCGTGCAAAAGGAACCTGAAGACCCACATGTGATTCGGAACAGGGCACCAGTAGTTCCAGAAAGGAATGTCGAGCATCCTCCTCAGAGGCAGCAGCAGAACTCGCAGAGGCAGCAACATTCTCAGCGTCAGCCATTTCATCAGGCTCATCCTTATCAGCGTCCTGGAGTACAGTTTCAGAACCTGTCGTTGGTGCAGTGTTCCTATTGTAGCTACCCTGGGCATACCCAGCAGAAGTGCCCCAGGCATCTTCGTCTGTGCTACAACTGTGGGTCCCCCGATCATGTCAACCGGGAATGTCCGCAGCGGCAGCAGGCCAGCTTGCCCCCACCTCCAGTACGAGCAGCTCTTCCAGCTCCACCTCAATCAGACTCAGCAGATCCAGCTCGGCACGGACCCTACCCTAGAGCAGGCCCTCATCCTTCATAGCAGCAGATTTATCAGGAAGCACGAAGGCAGCAACCACCACGTTAGACATTCATGATGACAGTCGTGGAAGCTAAGGAGAACTACCAAGTTATCACCGGTGAGAATAGTTCATTCTTAGTTTTATTTGCATATGATTTTCCTTATTAGTATTGCCTGATGATATTATGATAGGATTTTATTTATGAGTGCTAGTTTAGATGTATTTTCCTCCTCCTGTAATAGGCAATGCTCTTGTTTCTTCCGTCCTTGCTTTATCACCCTTTGACTCTGGGGCTTCCTATTATTTTTTGTCTCGTCGATTTGCGAGTACCAACTCTCGTTCTATATCTCTGTCCTTGGGTTTAATTTCGAGGACGAAATTTATTTTAAGGGGGGTAGAATATAATGACCGTGAATTTTGATACTAGTTAAAATAATTTTCTAGTATTTTAAATATTTAATTATTATTTTAAAAAAAGTATATTTGTATTTTCTCGATTTTCTAGGATTTTCTTTAATTTAAAAATCTAAATTTTATTTTTTACTTAAATGATTTTAATATTTATAAATTACTTTAGTGCAGTAAAAATTTCTAAAATTCATCTGTTGTGTTATCGATACTATTACGTATCATTTTGAATAACACGTTGTATTATTTTTACTATTACGTATTATTTCTTATAATACGTTGTATTATTATTACGTATTACTTTGTACAATTAGTTGTATTATTTTTATTATTGCGATCAGCTGCCGTATTAATACAACTGGTATATTTTATTGTATAGGTAATTTTCTCATAATTATTTGATTTTAAATATAAGTAATTATATTTTTTATTAATTATTCTTGTTTAATTGTATAATTAATTGTATTATTTTTACAGTTGCATATTATTGGTTGAATTAGTACAACTTGTACGTTTTAATGTGTAGATAATTCACACCCCTCCTCGTCGTCCTCCCCTCCCCCGTCCACCACCTTCATCTCCTCCGAGTCACCGCCAGAGAGCACTCATCTTCCTCCTCTCGTTCTCTCTCTCGAGCTCAGCCAGTCGCCGCCCAACTCCCCATCTCGAGCTCACCCCGACCACTGCCCCCATTCACCACCTTCAACATCCCCACTACCCCCTCTCCAGCGCCGACCAAACCCACCCACTCGCCTCCCCATCGCCGGCGAGCCCGACTGCAGCACCGCCAACAACTGCCACCCAACTCCGCCGCCCTCACCATCGAACCCGTCATCGTCAGACTCCTTGGTCTCGTAGGCAAGATCCCTCTTGCTCGTTGTCTCGTTAATTTAATTTTGATCTCTTATGAGTTTATTGCGTATATGCGTAGATTAGTTTGTGCTGATATGATATTAACTGTGTGGTTGTTGATAATATTACGGTGAATATATTTTGTGAAACGATGATAAATGATGAATAAGTATGTCAAAAAATAGTTTATGGTTAATTTCGTGTTGTTTTAAAGGAAGAATATATTTATAGAGTATTTTTAGAATTAATTATAATGAGGAAAATATTTTAAAAGGAATTATTTTGAGAAAATAATCTATTTTGGATTAGAGGTATTTTTGAATAATTGTTATGATTAAAAGAATTTTATTTTGAGAAAAAGAGTATTTTAGATTATTTTATAAAATATCATAGAAATCATTTATAAATAAAAAGTATTACTGTTCATAAATAATAATAAAATATATTTTAAGAAGATTATTTTTAGAATTTTTATAGTGAGATAATTTTAATGAAAATTATTATTGGAATTAGTAACTGAGATTTCGATTTTCGTGTGTAAAACATCTGTTAATGGTAGTTTCATCTTGCATTGTTAATAGTAACTTTACTCTCGTATGTTCTTGCATGTGATCACGACCCCTGTTCACACTTCATGACAATTGACACTTAGCGTAATTGTATTTATTATTCCATGTTGAGAATCATGAGAAGTACATGACTATAGTGACCTGTAAGACACAGTTATGATCTAGAACCTCGTGTGTAGTTGACTTGGAATTACGAGAATTAGGATGAGAAGTCTTGGTCCATGTAAGCGGTTAAGGTCATGATTGTATCCTGAGAATCCATCCATGAAAGACATCCTCTCATATCCGCAGGCGTTGTCGATCATGACATCCATGATGGAGAGTGGAAACTCTTCTTTTGGACAAGCTGCGTTAAGGTCACGAAAGTCTAGGCATATCCAGACCTTACCGTTTTTCTTGGGAACTAGAACAATATTGGCAACCTAGTCAGGTTGTTGTTCCTCTCTGACAAATCCTGAGTCTATAAGATTTCTGACTTCTGAATCAATTGCTTCCATGATCTTTGGGAAAAACCGATATTATTATTGTTTAACGGGTTTTGCGTCCGGATCAATGTTAACATGATGCATGGCTACTTTTGGATCAAGGCCAGGCATATCTTCATAATTCCAAGCAAAGACATCTATACATTCCCTGATAAGAGAGATAAGATCTTCTTTCGCATATGGTGATAAGCTTTCACTTATGAAGATTAGTTTAGGATCAGATTCGTCTCCCATATTGACCTGGGTTACTTTATCTTCAGTAGGTGGCTCACGCTATTCGAAACGCATATCCCACAAGATGTTAAGGCGTTTGATCCAAGGGTCATTAGTTTATTTGATCAACTCTTCATCACCCCCTGCATCTTCATCTGGGTGACTAGTTGAAACCATGTTCACAGTTAAACTTTTAAAGAAAAGTCTGACGTTGACATCAGATTCCTATGGTGATATTCCGGATGAATGATCTTGACATAGACAGTCACCAGTTTCATTTTCTTAAAGGGAAGGAGTTGTGACATAACCCACACCTCTTCTAGTTTTTTGATAATAATCTGGAGGTTTCCCTCGGGAGTGAGAGACATTCGGACAAGCGTTCGCCTTCCTTTCCTAAAGTTCAAACCCTTTTTTATTAAAGTTATATCCTATTCGTTTCATCAGATATATAGAATTAGATTCATGGTAATGGAATTGAGGGATTCCATTATCTTCTTCTAAACTTCCTCATTTGAGTAATTCAGGTTTAACTTTACCGAAGTGGATCGACTTCTGCCCTTTTCTTTTAGACGGGACTTTGAAGAAAGCCTTCTGGACATCTTCTATTTTTTCATCTGAAGCGAAGGATGATTTGATCGGCAATGTGAGTGATGCCTCTGCTCATAATGTGTGCCATAGGCCAGTACCTACATCAGTATCATTCTCTATTTGTTCATTTTTAGAGGACTCATCAGACAAGTATGCCAAAATAAAATCTTCATTAATACACCACTCGCCCTTGCTTGGTACATTATTATTATTCTCAACCTGACCCATTACATTGAAGTTCAACTCCCATGGACAATCTTCTTTCGGATCTGGCTCGATGTCGGCTTTGTTGTCACTATCAACATCTTCTTTCTCCTGAGATTCCAGGTAGAAAATGGAGTCTGTATGGTAGTTTTCTACCCCTCTGAAAGGGTATTTTTCTATAATTAGGGTTCAGACTTCTCCTTCATCATGAGCATACTTCATGACGTGATGTAGGATAGATGGAATAATGCGGTTTGCATGAATCTATGGTCGTCCCAACAATAAATTGTAGGATGTGTTCGTATCTATAATGTAACAAGTCACCTCGGACTTAAGATCTCCAATTTGATACCTGACCTTGATCTTCCCTAGGGGTCGAGTACTGTTGGCGTTGAAACCGAAGATAGTGGTCTGAGTGGTGTTCAACCGATGCATGGGAATCCCTAAAACCTGCATGACCCTGTAAGGCATGATGCTAAGTGCTAAGCCCGAGTCAACTTGGACACGGCTAATTTCTGAGGACCCAATATACCCTGTGTACTATAAAGGTCTGTCATGCTTGTGCTTAACCTGTATGTCTTCCTGAGTAAATGATATGCAGAGTAAATTTCTTGCTGCTTGTAGACACTGTATATAAGACTGGCCTTTAGAAGCTTCAGGAATCGGAGTAACTTGTGTAATGAAGCTTTCCGTATTCGTTAAAGCTTCAATTAGAGCTTCCTTGGTAGTTTTAGACAATAACAGAAGTTCATATAGGGTAATCTTAGCCAGTATATTGGGTAAATGCGCCAAGACATTGAATCAGAAGGGAGCGTTCGATCCTTCGACTTCTTGAAGAAGGTTCTTGTTATATCAGGTTTTCTTCTGTTTTCCTTTGTCAATTGACTTTTGAGGAACAGAACCCCCAGCGTCTTGGTGTTGTTCTTCTACTTCTTGATCATTCTGATCATAGTCTTTCAGGTAAGCTTTTCCTGACCGGGTGCCAGGATTGCCTCCTAGGTCTGCTGTAAGAACGATCCTCTCTTCTTCTAAGTCTGTGAGAGGTTTGAGATTATCGTCATTCTCATTAATGGAGGGGCTAATCATGTTGGATGATTTACCCTTGCCTCTTTTCTTTCTAGACGAGGAGTTCATCCACTATTGGTCTTCAACCAGATCAGGATGGACCCACATGATCTCCCCTTCTGAGGTAGTGAGGGGTACCAACCCTTTGTCTATCTAACTATACGGGTCAGTATTTTTCATGAGTATTTCCCCTTTGTAGATGGGGATAACTCCATCTGCAGCTGCTATCGGAGGGAAATTACCGAACTGGACCGCTATCAAATTGGTGGATACGGTCTTCCGCTCGGGCTTTAGTGTAAGCACATTGGCATTCACCAAGTTTTGCAGAATATCCTTGAAAACATAGTATATTTTGGTAGGATGTCCTAGGAACCTTTGATTGCGGTAGTAATTAGGATCGTCCACTTTTCCTGCCTCTTTCGGTTTCCCGATCTCAGGAAGTTACAATTTGTTGTTCTTCCGAAGTAATTGGAACAAAGTGTCCACATACTCCTCTTTGAACGAGTACTGCTTGGGCACCCTTTGCTGATTCGATGCTTTGCCTTGCTTAGCAGGTGATGCTTGTGTGCTAGAATCGGCAGCCAAAGTCTCCTTTCTCTTAGGTCGAGGAGCATTATTCTGGGTACGTTGTTGTTG